TCAACTGGCTTTAACAAGACCCACATTAAAACATAAGAAAAACAGAGGTAGATTTTGAGGCGTGCCCCTTTGCGTTTGACGAGAAATGTAACGGATCACTGTCAGGAGAGTCTATTATTTGAAGGAACTAACTATTGTTGTAAATTAAAATTTAAAATTTGTCTTCTCGGCTGGTCAGCCTCTTTTAGGAGTTCTCACCTCTTATCACCTTCGGGTTCCACACATCGACGTTCTTGACTTGCGCATCTTTATGATCGTGGAATGCCTCCCATACTGCATGGGACACTCGATTGTTGGAATTGAACTTCCACCTAAGATTAAAATTCAACTCAGTTTTAACTTTCTCAGCGTCAAATCAACAAACGATATTCCCACTGAAATTAACTTCAATCGTTTTAACTATCAGCTTCATTTTACTATTCAATATTAAAAATAGTCATGCAGACGGCTAAAACGTTTGAATATTTTATTTTTCTGACAATACAAATCAGGTAATTGTCCACCACAGCCCGTCTTTTCTGTGCACAAACTGTTTTCAGCGCGTTTGTTACCTATAAGCATTGTCTGCTGAGTCGATGCCCAACATCTCGGCTTGATTCTCCATTAGAGCTTCTGGGAGGCGACCAAAACAGTATGGGGCACTAGCATCGCAGTCTCCATACTTGTCTAAAATAAACAGATTTCAACACTCAGGAAATATCTCCTGTTTCTGGGCTATGAAAAATAATGGGTCTCGTCACTTAAAATACAGCACATGGCTCACAAGAATCTGTTCACATATTTTCTTTTTTATTGGAGATCCCAAACCTTGAATTTTACAGTTTATTTGAAAGTATTACCATCCCCATTGTAGTGTTTTGAGAGTAGGAAGCAGAAAATAACCATAAACTATTCGAATCTCAGTGTGTGATAGTAGGTACTGCGTAATCATCTAAACTATTATAACGACTTGTTCTCGATTTCCGTGTAAAATGAGGTACTGTATTAGGAAACCCGTTGTTAGTTGTTAGAAATAAAATACGACACGTGCTATAATTCGATAGCAGAAGCCAAAGTAAGACCGCGTTCAGATTCAAACACCGTACCAGCTGGATCGGTCCAACTCTGCAGGGGATTCTCGCTAAAGTGCATTCAGTTTAATCAGCTTAATTGTCTGACACGCCTCCCAGAGAAGCTGGTTAGTTAGCTTATTAACCCCTAGCAACTCGAGGAGGCATGTCAGGCATCATAGCCGATATCAGAGACTGAATTTAGAGAGAGTCTCCCGCAGATTTGGATCGATCCAGCTAATACGATGGGTTTATCTGAATGCTCCCTAACTGTCGGTTAACTGAAGGTTATTAATACCTGTGTAATTGCAATGTATTAATTTCCTATTCATTCAGTTTTATCCGGTTTTATTTTAAGGGGCCTACTACTGTCTATTATAGCTTGCTGTTGTTTCAGATTAGAATTTTTACGTACATTTAATGAGCTATCAGGATTCTCTATTGCATGTTTTAATTAAGACAAAAGTGAAAAAGGTAAACAGAAACATGCTTTTGTTTGTTTGCCTATTTTGATTAACAGATTTGGCCTTTATTTACGAAATATCTTTAATTGATAAAGGCTCAAAGGAGGTACGTGCGAACAACAGGCTATCAAAATCTAAATTTCATTAATTAGTGAGCACACTGTGAAGACCTTCTAGCGATTGTATGAGTTTAAAATTTAAGCACCGACCTTGAAGGACGTCAGACACCAGTGCTGGCCACGTGGTATTGGCTTTGTACCACCAAAACAAGCGCCATCTAGCGCCATCTTCTTCAATTACTTTGTAGTGCGCTGAAAGTGAAATCATTTATAAGAATTCTATAAACTGGTTTCTAATATCGCCTGTCTTTGATATAAGAATATAACTCAGTACATTGTTGGACCCACATCCACTACAGTAGTATAAGGTGTAGTGTGGCTGGAATACCTGAACACGTGCATGTATTTGTACGTGACCAAACTTAGCCAAAGTCAATAAAACTGAAATTAGATTCACATCAGATATTCTTCTACATGTACATACACTAAGCATTGACATTAAGCGTTTTTACCTTTCTGGTAAGTCTTAATTTCATTCGGGCAGCTGGTGGCAGCTTGGTTCCTCGTAATCACTACTGTCGACTGGGATAAAATGTCATTCAGATTGTCCAGGGACTTCTGGAGACGTTTTATGGCTTCACTGCAGTCGCAGGTGCCAGTACCGGACGTGACGTCGCACGAGGTCGACGACACCACAAAAGCGACACAGAATATTGCAAGTCGAGCGAATTTTGCCATCTCGATCGGAGAATCTTGGATGTTTGAAATGGTCTCTTATATAGGGGACTCCAACCGCGATGGAAACTGAAAAGAACAGTTGTGTTAAATCCAATGTTTCACAGAAGCTTAAATTTAAGCATATATACACCGTATATGTATGAGCGCCTAAAAACGGGATAGCAAACACGTGGGCAAGCAATTTAAAAAAAAAAAAGCTCCATAGACATGCTGTTTATTTTATTTTTTTTTCAATTACATGAATTAAATAAACAAAAGTAGGCATGATAAAACCTTAAATCGCTCAACGTAAAAACAAGCGTCCAGCTTCATGCAGCCTAAAGCGGGTCATCGAACAGGATATAGGCCTACATAAAGAATTGACTGCTCCGACTGCTTTCAGCCAACAGTAACTATCTAATGTATATTTTCAGCGCGTACCTTAAAAAAAAGAAAAACTATAGACATTGTATCTTACCTGGATTTTTCGCAACGTCGAATTTGGCCTTTCAAAATGTAAATGAATAAAGGCAGAGCAACGGTTTTTTAAAGACTGTGAGCACTTCGTGAATCCGTGGTTGAAGCCAGACGCTATACTGTAAGTAGTGATTCGATGTCACCGGCACCTGTATTTATATTCGGTGTAAATTCGCCAGAATTATGACAGTATAGTGTTAAATTACCCTGTTTATCGCCTACGTGTAGGTGTGGCTGCTAGGTCAGAAAGTTCCGGGTAGTATTTACCACTGTGCGTTAAATCAAGATAAACGGATGTAGCCAGGAGATTTTTAAGTAGTTAGGGTATTATCTCTGCGACAGGCGGTAAACATTTCATTGTGGCAGTGCTTCAGGGAAAATGGTCACTATTAATTCTTCGCAATCTTATTTAAACTGGAAAACGACAAGAGGGCGAAACAGTTTGAAACGTGCTGTATCACCTTTTCATCAATATTAGCATCAGTTTAGACTTATTGATACACTTGTCGAAGAAATATATTAAAAGTTTCGGTCCTATTTACAAAGTCTGAAGTCATATATATATATATATATATATATATATATATATATATATATATATTTTTTTTTTTTTTTTTTTTTTTTTTTTTTTTTTTTTTT